CTAGTCCTGGTCTTACATAACTCGGACTAGTTTTTTATTAATTCCCATTTGTAATAATTTTTTTAAATTTTATTATTTTGTGTGTGTGTGTGTGTGTGTGTGTACCATCAAATCAGATCTGACTGGTAAAGGAGGAGATTGCCACTTCTTCTCCAGCAGAGCATCTGGTGGATTTGAACCACATACCTCTGGGATTGTGTAATAATTTTTTATTATTTATATTCAGGATTGGTCCTACATAACTTGGACTACATAATAATAATCATACAAAACCTTGGACTAGTTTTTAAGACTCTTAATTCAAAGGGAGCTCTGTGGCCTTGTGGCAAGAAGCGATGCTGCAATCCCAAAGGCTCACTGTTTGAATCCACCAGATGCTTTCCTGCAGCAGGAGGGGCAAATTCTTCCTGTGCCGGTTGGATCTGATTTGATGGTACATGGCAAGAAAACAACAACAACAACAACAACAACAACAACATCTTCATTTGTTAGATGTAATAAAAATAAATTGTCTCGTTGATAGTCAATATCATATTCATATCTTTTTAAAACTTTTGGCTATACACTTCAAAGTCTGATCTATGGCTGGGCAATGTCAGCTTTCAGTATACGCTGTTATTTAAATTGCTCCTAATTTGAGAGAAATTAATATGCTGGTATGAACGGCCTAGTGGCTAGAAGTTGCACCACAATCCCAAAGGCATGTGGTTTGAGGCCACAAGCTGCTTCGTGGGAGGAGGATGGGCAGTTAACTTCGTCTGAAAACCCACCAGAGGGTCAGTTATGGGTCAATTTTGACTCTGCAGTACACAACAACAACCACAACTACAATAACAATGTTGATGGACACTGTATTTTATCTTTCTTAGATGATGGAAACCATTTGGGCTAGTGGGTTTTTTTACTTTGGGGTTGTTTCCTCCCCGCCCTGCCCCATCATCAAGAATCTAGGTTTTTTTCAATAATTTTATTTCTGCTGTTAATGCACATTTCCCTTTTATCGTCTGTGAAGCTTGGGGTCTTTATAGAACATTTCAAAACAGAACAAAACCAACCAATTGCTTTACGGGTTACTATACCTCAAGTATGTCAGGATAGAATTGTGCTCCACAGGGTTTTCACGCATTTTTTTTTATTTTATTTTTTTAATTTAATTAGGTGTTTCTGGGTGTGTTTGAGCCTCCAGCCTTTTGGCTATAAGCCAAACGTGTTAAACATTTGCTCCATCTAGGGGCTCCATGTGGGAGCTCTGGTAGAGAGTTAACTCTGTACAGTTGACCCAGAAGCCCCCCTTCGCTCTCAGGGTAATCCGTCAGCCAGTCTGAGAGAGAATGATGAGCAGTCTCCTCTCATGAGGTGTGTAGGATGGAAATTCTCCGGAGGCTCCGCTGAGTCTGAAGTGACTTGAACACAATGAGAGAGAGAGAGAGAGAGAGAGAGAGAGAGAGAGAGAGAGAAGGGGAGTCAGTGGAATACTTATAAAAACCCATTGCCATCGGATTGGTTCTGACTCTGAGAACACTTGCCCGGTATTTTTCAGAGGAAAAGGAAGACCTACAAGTTCTAACTCTACTCTTTATGGAACAGATTATATTTGAATATAATTATAGACTCACCTACAAGGAGTCTCAAGGATAATCTAATGTGAGAGGCCAGGCTTCCTCAGGATAGCTTAGAGTCTCTGGGAACCGGTGACAAGCAAACAGCACTTTCAGGCAATTTCTCCTACTAAACCCACATTTAATACCTTAATAGGGAGGTGTGTACACAATTATATTTGAAAGTAGGTTTTGAAAACCCCAAACGTGAACATTGATGTTGTAGTGATAGAGAAGGTTCTGGCAGGTTCAGCGTCCTGTCTGAAGTAGCCTGGTTGATGGATGTCAGACCAAAACAAACCACAGCTGTAGAGTCAAGTCCTTCCAATTCATAGTGACCGTAGTGGACATGGTCTTTTCATCTGCTTCCTGTGCATGTGAAAGCTGTTCAGTGAGTAAGAAAGACTGAACAAGAATTGATGCTTTGGAACTGTACTGTTGACAGGAGCATTGAATAGCCCACAGACTGCCAAAAGAACAAAGTTTTGGAGGAAGTGTTGCAACAAGGGGCCTCCTTAGAGACAAGGGTCATAGTGAAACTTGTCTCACATACTTTGGACATGTCAAGACGGGCCAGTTCTTGGAAGAAAAAGACATTCATCTTGGGAAAGTAGAGGATCTGTGAAAGAGAGGAAGACCCTCGTGAGATGGATTGACAGAGTGCGACAGTGGGCTTGAGCATGGCCAAGTTTGTCAGGATGGCACAAGATAGAGAATGGTTTTGATTTGTTGTTCGTAAGGTCCTGTGGATGATAGTCAACTCAACACCACCTATAACTCTTGGGCAGGAAACAGTTGTTCCAAATTTCCAAGGTTATCAGTCTTACAAAAGCAGATTGCCTCATCTTCCTCCTGGGTAGCCACTCAGGGGTTCAAACCACTGAGCTTGAGGTTGGCATATGGACTCTGTAACCATCACACCACTACCAGGGCCCTTGTTGTCATAGATGGCCATGTAATTGTCCATGTGGGTTTGTTGTCCTTGCTTGTACAGTCCCAGAAAGTCCCACAAGAGTCTTCCAGGCTGTTACTATACCAGAGAGGTGACTTCTTGCCCTTTATTTAACATATTCATAAAGGGATTGCTTTATTTATTTGTGAGGGAAAGCTAATTCTTCATGGTCTGGTTCTTCTGGTCTAATATAATTGTGAAACTCTTCCCATCTCCTCTTTTAGTATATTCTGTTTTATCCTATTTTGGGTAGAAAAGGATAACATTCCTTTGTCATGTCCTGCAAAGTATTCTTTATGTAGTTTGAGACTGTTTATTAAATCTCCAGCCTGCCTTTCATTCTTCAAGCTAAAAAAACCTCAATTAGTATCTTGAGTATCATACCCATCATTTGCCTCTCTGCCCTTATATAGTTCTGCACTTTTATTGGTTTGAAATCTAGTTTTTTGGTTTGGGGTTGTATTGGTTTTTTTTCTTTTCATGAGAGTGGGCAAGCTGACCACTTACTTTCACTGAGTCATCTCTAACTTAAGTGTAGGGTGGTTTTGGTTAAGGAGTAAAATGAACCTATAATTTTCTCTATTCTTGGATTTTTATTGCATTATTCAGGTTGGTATTCACGAGGTAGATTATTAATGATTGTCTGACTACCTTCATCTGAAATTCTGTCTCAAACTGTTTTAAGAGGGAATTTTCTCATTAAAACATCACTACATTGGCCACATTATTTTTGTCTTTACTTAAAGAGACTCACTGTTGAAAATTCAGTTAATTACTTCTTGAAGGCAAAGACCATGTCTAAATCGTATTATTTCCCCAAGTGCCAAGTCTTGTGTCTTATGAAAAAGAAACCATTAAGGAATATTTGTTTCTGTCAATTATGACTCCTCGTGATCCCCTATGTTACAGAGAAAGTAGCTTCAAGGGAAAGCTATATTAATTTTTATGTAGATACATGCTTTGGGCATGTCGTTCACAGGCTCCAGTGCTTGGAAAAACACATTATGCTGGGAAAAGTGGAGTCAGAGAAAGAGAGGAAGATGCTGAACAAGATGAATTGACACAGTGACTATAGCAATAGGTTTTAGCGCATCAGAGATAATGAGGATGGCACAGAATAGGGCAGGGTTCAGATCAGTTGTTCAGGGTCAGCATGAGTCCTGATAGACTCAGTCACACCTGAGTGACACCTAACAACAGCAACAACAACATATTATGTGCTGTTGAGTCTGAACCAACCCATGTCTGATCCTCCAGTGAGTTTTCAGAGACAGGAAATAGCACTGTAGGAGATTCGACCACAGAACAGCTAGTGGATTTGAAGCACATGCCTTTGGGTTGGCAGCACAGCTCTTTACCACTAGGCTACCAGAGCCCCTATATCACCACAATGCAGGTCTAGAAAGCCACACACCACTTTAATCTTTTATGAAGTAGACTACCAGGACTTTTCTTCTTTCAAACCTTGAGCCTTAAGTTGGTCATCAAGCAAAATTCATTGGTGCTTTCCAGAAGAGATTAATAAATGGTTATTAAATGAATAGCTATTAATAATGTTACAACACTTAGTGTCTCTGTGTATTCATATTTCATAATATGTTCTCTAGTTTTGTTCTTTGTTGTTGTTATGTGCTGTTGTGTTACCGGCGACTCATGTCATTCTTATAGACCACTTTAATTTTTCTCAGAACAGCTCCACTTGCATTTTAAATTTGCTTTATAGTTGGAAAAACTTAGACAATAAGCTTTATGAGTTTCCCAATTGATTCTAGGTTTGAGTTGAACTGCTAAATTGAAATGGAGACTTTTTAAGGTCACTATTTAGGGAATAAAGTACATTTAGGAAGATTTTTAAAAAATAAGATAAACCTAAGTGCTTTATGATTTTAAAGGAGGGAAATGAAACACAAACCTGAAAAACTCATGTATTTTAAAATTCATCTCCATTGCTCACCTAAACAGACAAGCAAATGAAGTCTGTAAGTTACAAAGGAAAATGAAATGTATCATGGTCTGAGTGTTGGACAGAACTTAAAAATATTTGGTTTGTAGAATGATTTAAGGAAGTCTTGTGAAATCTAGAATTGACTACTCTGTAGTATCATGATGGAGTAATGAACAAAAGATTTGCTAATTAGCCCCAATCATACGATGGGAAAAGCCTTTTCAGTAGTCCACATATGCATAGTATTAATGTGAAGGAAATAATTTATTGACTTGAAGATATCCCGTATTATTTTAGCAAAAGAAAAAAAAAATCAGCTCTGTTAACTCTGGTATTTATATAAACGAAAGTTCCTGCAAACTCCTGGAGGAAGAATGCAGCTTCTGGTTTACCGTGAAATAATTCGAGTGTGCCTGGCAGGCGGCCTCCCTCCCTCGCTGGATAGACTTTCCCCCGTGTGGGTGCCAGGGACACCTGATAGCACAGTTTCATGTTTTGTTTGCAGGATCAGTTCAGCGATATGAGAATCAGCATAAACCAGACGCCTGGGAACAGTCTTGAATTTGGCTTTACAGTAAAATGGGATCTTTCCGGAGTCTTCGTAGCATCAGTAGAAGCAGGTAAATCTTGCATTTGGCTCTGCTGAACTTCTGCTCTCGTGTTGTCCTGTGGTGTGAACAGACCTTTCTTTTATCAGGGGAGGAAAAGCAGTGTATGAAGGCTTCGTAGAGTGAGGAGAGATGTACCCTCTATTCCTAGAGGGTTCCGAGTACCAGATTGTTTATTCTCCTTGCCTTACCAGTTTTCATTTTGAAGAATCGTTATTTTATGACAATCTTAGTTTGTTTACACTTTAAGTTACTTTTTTGAAAATGGTAACAAATGGTTTTTGAAGAAAGATAAGAGCTTTCCTTGTTCAGCCATGTTCTGTGACTAGATATGTGCTCTTTTATATGTAAAAGGTCTTGGGAAATCTAATACATCTTTCACCTAAGGACAGAACGAAGGCTGCATAGTGGATTAGACTTGGGGGGACGGATTGTATAACAATGAAAGAATTTTTCTTTTACTTTTCAAAGAGAAGAGCAAACTGGGAGGGGCGGGGGTAGGCAGGGAGGAAAGTGCAACAATGAATGGAAATCCAAAGTCTCTGTAAATGTTCATTAAAATGAATAATAATAATAATAATAAAAAGATATTAAAAAGAGAAAAATATGCAAGTGAAAATTTATTTTTAAAAAAGAAGACTTTTTCTGAAAAGATCACAGCTCAATGACTACCTGGAGTAATACCAAGTTAATCTGGGACACTTTTGACAAAATGTTACAAGATCTAAAATGAAAATTCTGTGGTGTTTGAGAGGAGTTCCTTCACCTTCTTTAGCTATAAGCATTTTCATGTTAACACTGGTTATTTAAATGAAATTTCAAAATAGCTTTAATTAGATAGGGTGTTGGAACAGCAATTTAAAGCGGTTTTAAGTCTCCAAGCTTTCTGTCTTCCATTCCTGAGTGATTGTAGAATTTGGAAGTTTAACTGAATGCGATGTTTTACACATTTTTTTGTTTAGAAGTAACTTAAGTTTTTCCTTAGGTTTTAGAAGGCTAGCATAATGATTTTGCTGACAAGATGAGCTTGTCATTCTTTCTTTAATGGTAAGGAAGATGTCCACTATAAATTTTTTTTTTAAGAAAACCTTTGATGTTATGAATGATGTAAATACTCCTTTATTTGTGAGCTTAAAAACCCAAAACAAAACACCTCACTGCCTTTCCTCCACCTGAAAAGTAAATATGAGAAGTGCTTACATGAGATGAATATAATTTTTCCTTGATTAAAATAAGCAATGATCAGAAGATCATCTGTTTTGGGGTTTGTTCTTATCTGACTGTTTATTTTACTTTTCATTGCTTAGGTAGCCCAGCAGAATTTTCTCAGCTGCAGGTAGATGATGAAATTATTGCTATTAACAACACCAAGTTTTCATATAAGGACACAAAAGAGTGGGAGGAAGCCATGGCCAAAGCCCAGGAAACAGGACACCTAGTCATGGATGTCAGACGCCATGGAAAGTCTGGTGAGTGGCTTTGACCACCATGTCTGCTTTACCAAGCTGGGAAATGGTCTTTTAGCACATGGCTGTAACATTGCTTCAGTAACTTTTTTTTTTTTTTAAATACTTAATTTTTTGGCTTCAAGCTGTTTTGTATTTATATTGTCACATATCCTAAATATATCCTTGAAAGTTCTGTCAAAAATCCATCTTTGAAACTAGCCAACTTACTGAACCCTAGATTACTGGCTGTTTTAATTATGCACGGACTCAGTATTGCGTGCAAATACACACTTGAAGGGTATTGCTATTGTATCTGCATTCAGGAGTCGTGTAACGATTTTTAATACTAAGCATCACATTATGCTTTCACTCTCTCTACCACATCCTGACTGTACCTGATGTGAGAGAGAATGTGGTAGGTTACTTTTCTGCTGCTGATTCTTAAAGAACTTTCCATGTGCATGCCGTTAAATTATTTACTTGTTTATTTTTAGCTATTGAGGTCAAGTAGGAGAGGATTAAGTCTTTCTTATCCTAGTAAATGATATTGTAAAAATGCAATATTCAGCCCAGGTTTATTGACTGGTTCAGTAAATTTGCTAGTCCTGTCATCATTAACCTGATCTAACCTTTGTGTTTTGGGGAAGGTGGTCTGTAGACAGAAGCCCTGAACACTCTTCATTTCTTTCTATCTGCCTGATTTGTTTGTCTTGTATATGTGCAGTTTTTTTTAATGTTTATGTGCATTCAGTAACTTTGTTCTTTCTACTTCAACATTTATGTGTGCTTCTTTCTTGACCTCCATGTGCCAATCAGACTGGGGCAAAGACCAACCTTCCCTGCCATTTTTACGGCACAAAACCCTCAATCTCACCAGTATGGCTACCAAAATTATAGGTTCACCTGAAACAAAGTGGATTGACACAACTTCTGGAATTTACAACTCAGATATATCCTCAAGTCTGTCAGTAACGACTGATTTCTCTGAAAGCCTTCAGAGTTCTGTAAGTATTTTAATTGCTCGGGGGCATATATACAGGGCAAAAAAAATTATAGAAATTGTGCGTTTGAAAAGCATAGTATTTATTTGAATGTGTATGTCTTGCTACCACTATTAAAGCATACATATCTGAATAAGGTGTTACCTTAGAGTAATGAGGATAAAATATATATTTGAAAATTATAAGGAAATCCAACCCAAACCCATTGCTGATGGGTCAAGCCCAACTCATAGCAACCTTGTAGAACAGGGTAGAAGAGCCATATGGAGTGACCAAGGCTTTAGTCTATATGGAAGCAGATTACCCTGTCTTTCTTCTGCAGAGTAGCTAGTAGATTTGAACTGCTGTCTTTTGGGTTAGCAGTCAAATGTTTAACCACTGTATCATCATGGCTCCTCCTTAAGACATTACTCCTTGATAATTAAGAGAGTAATAATGATGTGTATAATGTTAAACCAAAAGTTCCCATAATGTCATTTGGGGGATTTTTTTTCACCAGTCTTTCATCATTATATTCTCCTTTCATATATTTTGTGAATATAAAGTAGTACTTATGTAAAATTACAGACTCTTTACTAGTGAAATGAATGCAGTAATTGTGTGCAATTGAAAACTCTGTGAAACATTTTTAGTCCATTCATAGGTGATTTGTTGAGTAGACTTTCAGATGTACTTAAGGGATATTCAGCTGCATTAGCAGAATATGGGAAACTTAGAAAGTCAGTGAAATATCTGAGTTTTATCTCAGTAAAGCTGTTATTTTATCTCAGCAAAGTATGGCTAATGCTGAGAAGAATGGGAATCCCAGAACAACTAATTGTGCTCATGGGAACCTAAACTTAGACCAAGAGGGCTGTTGTGTAAATAGAGCAAGGAAACACTATATGGTTTAAAATGAAGAAAGATGTGCATCAAGAGTGTATTGTCTCTCCATATCTATTCAGTCTATATACTGAGCAAAGCCTGGATTCTATGAAGAATGTGTCACCAAGATTGGATGAAGACTCATCAGTAATATTAATAATGATGATGATGATGATGATGATGTTGTAATGCTGATGACACAATCTTGCTTCCAGAAAAGTGAAGAGTACTTAGTGTACTTACTACAGAAGATCAAAGACTGTGGCCTTCAATATGGATTGCATCTCAATGTCAAGAAGACAAAAATTCTCACCACTGGACCAATAGACAGCATCATGATACATGGAGAAAGGATTGAAACTGTCAATGACTTCATCTTCTTTGGATCTACAATTAATACAGTTAGTACCAGCAGTCAGGAGATCAGGAGAAATATTGCACTGGGAAGTCTGCAGTCAGGGACCTGTCCAAATTATTGAGGAACAATGATATTAATTTGAGGACTAAGGTGCACCTAATTTAGACCATGGTCTTTTCAGTACATTGCTATGCACCTGAGAGCTGGACAATGAATAAGGATGACAGAAGAAGTTGCTCTCTAAATGTGATGTTGTCTTGGAGAAGGTGCAACCAGAGTGCTTCTTGGAGGCAAAGATGATAAAGCTTCATCTCACATATTTTGGGCATGTTGCTAGGAGAGGCTGTTCCTTAGGATCATCATGCTTGGGAAGGTTTAAAGATGAGACACTGAAAGAGAGGAAGACTCTCAACCAGGTGGACTGATAAACAGTGGCTGCAGCAAAGGGCTCAGGTGTGTCAGGAATGGTGAGGACGGCACAGGGTGAGCCAGGGTACAGATCTGTTGTTCATATGGTTGCTGTGAGTCCTTCTCAACTTGAAGGCACCTGACTATAACAACAACAACGATGACAACAAGAAAGCTGTTAATAACAGAGAAATGATAATGAAGGATTTTTTCCAAGTCTCAAAGCACTACTCTTTATCATATCCAATTTTTAAAAATGTGGTTTTGATTTATAGTCTGCTCATTTTAATTAAGCTAATAATTAAATTTAAGCACTCAATGAATTATTATTAGTTTACATTAACTGCCTGGGTATTATTCCAACAGTAAAGCACCCTATTTTTTTAAACTAAGGGAGTTTACTATGTGTTGTAAGAAAGATTTAACTACTAGAAAAGTTTAGATACTGACTATACTGCTTAATCATTGCTAAATAAAAACAAAATCAACCGATCATTATTTTCACCCATCATGTTTCTTGGAATATCACTGGCTGATTAAACTTAAAGGCACTGCTATCTGCATGTAGGTAGTCATTAAGTATTCCACAAATATTAAATATTATTATTCAATATTGAATAACAACATTAGATAATAATATTGAATATTAATAATAAAACAAGGAATTTTTGATTATATTTAAAAGGTTATAAACCCAAACCCTAACATACTGCCTGCCATCCAGTCAGTTATGTCTTCTAGCCATAGGGAGCCTAGTGGTAAAAAAATTGGGCTGCAGTCTCAAAGACATGTGGTTTAAATTCATTAACTGCTCCCTGAAAAGATGCACAGTCTCCTCCCATATGATTAACTGGCTCAGAAAAGCCACTGGAGTATCAACTGTGGGTTGGTTCCCATTTGCTAGCATACAACAACAACAAGAAGAAGCTACCCTGTAGGATAGATTACAACTAACTGGACCATTGTGTTTCCAAGGTGGTAAATCTTTGCAGAAGTTGACAATTTCATCTTTCTCCCATGGAGTGGCTGGTGGGTTGGAACCACCACCCTTCTGGTTAGCAGCCCGATGCCTTCAAGACAGTGCCACGAGAGTTCCATAAAAGGTTATAAGGGACACAATAATATCCTGAAGTGTCATATTATTAAAAAACATCTTCTTTCTCAATCCATACGTTCACAGAATGGAATACAATACAGCACGCAGGAACAATGATTTGATAAATCACTATCTAACTTGAGAGGGACTGGAGAGCATTGTGCTGCGTGAACTAACTCAGTCCCATAAGGACAAATACCGTATATCACCATTATTGTAGAACATGTATGAAGATATAAGGGGAGAGTGGTGGAAGCAGAGGGGTGAGGATGGGTGGGTTGGGGAGGGGGTGGTTAATCATAAGATGAAACAATTTGATGGGTGGATAAAGGAAATGGGAAAGATCAGTGTGCAAAACAATGTATATAAACTTTGTAAGTAAATCAGTATAAAGGAAAAATTTTATTTAAAACAAACAAACAAATCTTAAGGAGAAATGCATGATTTAGGCCAAAAGTGCTATTGGACAGAATGTTGTTTTGGTTTTTTTCACCTATGTTTATTAGAGTTAATTTTGTTAATCAGCATTTTCCTCCCACTCAGAATACTGAATCCAAAGAAATCAATGGGATTCGTGATGAAAGCGGCACTTTTGACTCAAAAGGTAAAGATCACCCTCATGATATGGATTTGTACATAGGAAAAGCAATAGCAGTCAGATTATGCTGTTACAGAAATGAGAATCTGTGAGTGCAAGGAAAAGTGACTGGTTAGCAGGCCCAGGTGGCGCCCGGTGGAAGGGAGTTTGGTTCCAGCACTGTACCAGGTGTCGCCCGGTGGAAGGGCGTTCGGTTCCAGCACAGCTTCAGCAGTTTGCTCGGTGTGCCAGAACCAAAGAAGGAGGACTGGTTTCCCAACACACTGCCTTCTTGATAGGATATGCAGGCAAAGGGAATCTTATTTGAATTTGAAATGAGTAATGCTGCCTTTATAGTTGTGTGAGAGACAAACTTGGAGGCAGCTACTACTTCCTAAGGAAATGCTGCTGATGGGAATAACAATTGTTAGCAAAAGCACTCATTTGCAATTATAAAGCTCTTGGATTCTGTGTAATGAGTTACCACTCTTCCTAGTCATTCATAAATAATGTTACCACCAAACACTATGTGTTATTCTGTGGTTAACAAAATAAATAAGAAAGGTACAATCCACAGAGGTGGGGAAGGGACACAAAGAAGATAGCTTCATGGCGCTAGTCTGATGGGCAAAATGGTGGGCTTGCATAGGTGAATTTTAGTCCTTACTCGCCAGTTCAGGAATTTTTAGTCCTAACTTGACTTGTCAGTGACTTTTCACTTCATAACCTTGCGAAGGTTAGAAGTGACTGAAATATTTCAAACCACATTCTTTAGTAAAGGAGTTTTTAAAACAAACATGTTTTCCCCCTTCATAATATAAATCTAAGATATCTGAGTTCAATTCTGCCAGTGACAAAGGCAGACAGAGCATACTAATAAAAAAAATCCCACAATTTTAAGCAATTACAGTTTGGTATGTGTCCCCTATTAACTGAGAGTCTTGCCGATGGAAAGAAGCAGGAATTAGTATCTCATACAGCCATTTGTGAATGAAGTATCATAGTAATTTACTTAATCTGTGGGGAAAAATAAGATGATAATGTTTCTTATTTATCTGACTAAACACCATTTGGTTTAATTAAAAAAAATAATGTATTAGAATTTGAAGACTAAGCCTAAGTCGTCGTAGAAGATTTATTTTTATTTTAGCATTTGCTTTTTTCTTTCTTTGGATATACTTTACTTTGCTATACTTCTCCCCATTACTTATCAGTTCTTTGCTTACCAAGTTTGTGAAACCTCTTAGTTGAACAGATTGTTTTGTGTTATAAGTAGTCTGGGATCATTTAGCATAGGCCACTCTTTTCAGTCTTCGTTTTACCAAAGCTTTGAGATCTGGCATGAAGCTGGTACATTGACTTTTCAACTGAAACTGTGATGCTTTCTGCAAAAATGTGTTAATAAAAGTATTTCCTCCTTGTACTAATTTGAATGTGGTCTAGACTACTAAAAATGTGTATGTATGTTTGCATTTAAATAATCTGGGTCTTCTATGACCATGTCTTTGTTATTTTATTAATATTGCTGTAGGTTGGAAAGGTATATACCAAGTTTCATTTAGCTTTCCAGTAGTGAGAGGTAAACAAATGATGTGATATTGATTGACTCTTTTTTTTTTTGCATTTTTCAACTAGCATCTGAACCTATTTCTTTGAAAAACTTAAAAAGGCGATCACAATTTTTTGAACAAGGTAAACGACAAAGTTAACAATTCATGCTTTTTCATGGAATTGTTCCACTCTCCACTCTTGCTCACGGTCTGTGGTGCCTTTTCCATCTGGCTGTCATATGACCAAGCTACATAACCCATTTCCATTCTTTTCCCAGGGTCACGCGGTTTTTCTTACAGCTCATGGGTCTACCTCTGTGGTAATGGGTCTTTTGCGTGTCCTTTGAATACCTCTAAATTTTTTTTTTCTTCCTTTTGAAACTGAGATGCTTTTAAACATACACTTCTTTCCACTGGTTAACAGTAAGAAATGAGCTGAGTGAAAGCTTTGCTTCCTGTGATTGCACAATATTCAATTGCACCAACATACAATTGACCACGTTTTTTAAAGCCAGATGAATTTTTGGTTTTGAAGCGGGGGGGGGGAACCCCAAAAAACCCAATGCTCACAAATCCAGAAACAAGAGCAAAGTTATTTATGGTTGTTGGGGATGGTGGTTTGGGATAGTTAATGTGATTGCTCTGTTGAATTTGAAGTCAATGAAAAAGAAATGAATTTGGACTGCCAAAGTGAACAAGAGGATTTGGAGGTCATCTGTGTTGGTGCAGTTGGGTACGGCTGCCTCCTGTGTGCTGTGCATGTCACATTTTTCTACGTATAATTCCCTGCTTCACAAATGTAGTTCAAGTTCTGGGGTTTGCTGTCAAGAACTTAAAAGTAATAGCCAATGTTTGAGATGCAATGGTACAGCCAGAGGAGAGTGTGCGGTTGCAATCTGAAATGATACTGTTTCTTACTTTTAAGATAATAAAAGCATTTATAGATTCACCTTATATACTGGATAGTCACAAGATTTGTGCATTTCACATTAATCACAAAAATTTGATAAATTGTATCTTTCTTCCTTTGGTGCATTACTTTTCCCCCTCTAGTATGACTGGAAATACCTTACAAGTTATGCATGCCCAGGGTCTATTTGTGTCAGTATTCTTAGTGTTTTTCTTTGTTGTTAAATTCCTGTTCTTTCTGTCACTATTTAGTGGAAGCAACATGATTCCTCTAGCTCAAGGTGGCTAACAAAAGACTTTTTCCAATTTTCATCTACTTTTCTTTAACAGGTTATTGTAGGGAAGAGTAGTTTCTTAAATATCAAAGCAGTTTTCTAAAAATACAAAAAATCATTGTGTAAATGAATCATTTATTTGATGATAGTTTCTGTTTCAGGAAAATTTGAAAATTCTCTGACAGTATATTTTTAAAAATTTGTTTATCATTTTAAAAATAATTATACTATTTATGGATATACACAATTTTGTGGACCTCTTAAATATGAAAGGAATGCCTTCGAGCATGTACATAAACTTTGAGCATTTATGTTGCAAGTCATAGGAGAGGAAAGGAAAACATTTCTGGAACATGTCTGCTGTGGTGGCTTAATTATGAAAAGGAGTTTATCAGTCGGGAGGACTGAAAAAATGTGACTTTCGGCTGTCACATTGTAACCAAGTAGTGGCAAGTGAAAATTTGAGTTTGACAGATGTTACAATATTTGAGGTTGTTTGTTTTTCTATCAGGGAAATGTCTAGGAGATGAAGCATTTTATGACTAAGAGTACCTAGTTACTGTTTACAAAAAAGTTAAATAGGTACAAGGAGTACAGTTTGACTTTCTGACTACTATCTATGGTTTATCTACTTTTTATTGTCTTAGTTTGGATGATGAACAGTGAAGGGATGGAACTCAAGAAAAAAAGCTTTTACACATTAAACAAACATTGAAGTCACTTAGTATACTGGCATAGAGACGACTAGAGATAAAACATTCAGAGAGGAACTATTTTGTGAAACTAAGAGACTTATGTCTTTATTTTTGTCATTGTTCTCCCTCATTCTGTAATATAGGAAGTGCTGATTCCGTGTCTCCTGATGTAAGTAGTGTTCATTTGTAGTTTGGAATAAACAAGGTGCACTTGGGTGGGGATGGCTAACTTACTATACAATGACATTGATTACAATTCTTTTAAGTTGTGAAAGAGCATATAAAATAGTAACACCTGTGAGTTGAAACCCCAATTGTGCCGTATAAAGGCATTTTAACCCTTGGTACTGTCTAAACAGAGTGTAATATGAACGGTTTATGTATGTTAAGAGCATACATGGCAAGTTTCATTGCCTCCCTAACCAGCAGAAATGAGTAGTGCCCAGTTACCATTACTGAACTGTTTTGAGTTAGATCTATGTAGACCCTGGTCAAAGGCTGAGAAAGCCTAGAAGAGAACCTGAAACTCAGCTGGAAGCGACACTTGCTGAATCCAGTGAGGCTTGAGGAATTCTTGAATAATCTTTAAAACTTGAACCAAATCTCTCCTGTGGAGCCGTCATTATTAAACTAATCAATAACCAGATCAGTAAAGAAAATTTGCCTTGCGCACCGTGTTCTTACAGGCAGTGATCGACATTTGGCCCTTTGCATCTGTGCTTTCCTCATCTGTGGATTCAGCCAACCTTGGCTTGAAATATTGAAGGGAAAGTAGCAATTAAGTAGTCAAAGCAATCCCTCAAAGGCTCAGAAGTAGCATGAAGTGGTCGCTGTACAGCATTTAACATTATGTTAGGTATTGTAAGTAATCTAGAGATGATTGAAAGTCTATGGGCTCCATACCATCACTATGCCATTATCTAGGAAGGACTCAATCATCCATGGAGATCCCTTTCAGATATTGTATATTAGCTCTAATATATAACAGCTATTATAAAGCACAGATGAGAACTTTAAGGGGAAGAGAGCCTAGTTAATGGCAATAAACTAATGAGTAGAAATAGTGAGAATTGGGTCACAATGTCAAGTGTGTAACCAGTGTCATTGAACTGTTGAATGAATGTGTGTTTGTCTGTTTATTTCTACCCCAAATAAGTAAAATTAACAAAACAAAACAAAACACCCAAACAAACCCTCAAAACCTTAAATCTGCAGAAGTAGTTCAGTGGATGACTTACTGGCACATGCCCTTCCTCTGTTTTCTCCTCCTCTCTCCTAACTGGCCAGCTTCCAGTCCCAACTCTCAGTGCCCCGAGTCGCTGGGCTTGGGATCAAGAGGAAGAACGCAGGCGTCAGGAGAGGTGGCAGAAGGAGCAGGACCGTCTGCTGCAGGTAATGGTGGATAATCGGGAGAGTGACCATCAGGCTTTCTTGAATTCTTTTAATTCGTGCATCCACATTTTAACAGAACTCCAAACAATAACTCCATTAATTAAGAAATCTTTCTTTGTGGCATATTGTACACGAAACAAGAATCTTAACATTTAGAAGACTCATAGAGTCATTGTTTTTAAACAAATCATTATTTATGAACATCTGTGCATATTATTTGGAGGCTCTGGTGGCCTTGTCTCAGGGACTGGGCTGCTAACCCTCATGCTGCACCTCTTTGTCATTTTGAATCCATCAGTGATGCTGTAACAGTGAACCTGAGAGATGGGAAATCTCCCCTCGTGTGATTTACAGCCTTGGAAAGCCAGTGGAGTGTGAGCTCTGAGCGGGTTCTGACCAACAGCAATGAGTTGAGTCTGAGTGCATATTAATGGAGAGAGTGAGCGATTACAGTCTTGAGTATTTTCTTACATGAGTGAGAGGTTTAGTCTTTGTAAAGACTTGATACCCATAAGCTACTTATTTGCTTTACTGAAGACAACTTCGTTCAATTACCTGGTAGCTTACAATGAATTGCAATCGTAGTAAAAGAATGTCCTCTGCCATTTACTCAGTACCATGTGGGACCATCCATCAGGTCTCCAGCACTGGAAATCTTAAGGGTAGGAGGCAACTCATCTTTTTCTCTTAGTGTGGCTGGTGTAGTAGTAGCCCTTAAGAACTCCTTAGGCTCTGATGTTGTTTTTACTGTGTACCATAGAGTTGGAACCAACTGCTAGCTGACCCTCCAGCAGGTTTTCAGAGGCAGTAATTGCGCTGGAGGAGATTGCTTATCCTTCTCTCACAGAGCAGCTGGTGGCCTTGAACTGCATGCCTTTGGAATTGCAGCACAGCATCTTGCCACTAGGCCCAACCAGAGCTTTCTGATGTATTAGATGACAATTAAGTCACTGTCAAAAAAGATTTCTATACAGTTGATTCTGACTCCAGGTGATCCCATGTAACAGCATTGTGTCCCAGAGTGTTTTCCAGGTTGACATTTTTCAGAATTAGAGTGCTATGCTTTTCTCCCAGGGTGCTGTCGCTTGGACTCAAGCTTCCAACCTTACAAGGAGCACTGGAGTGTGTGTTAAGTACATTGCGCAGGGACTCTGAAAGGTGGGCTTATGCTGTTCAGAGTCAGCTCCAGTTCACAGCAATCCCTGTGTACAGCAGAGCCTGTCTGCTTCTGTGCCACCCTCACAGTCTCTGCTGCGCTCGTTGTTACAGCCACTGTGTCAGCCCAGCTCCCTGAGGATCTTCCTTTTTTTCACTGACTGTCCACTTTACCAAACATGATGTCTTTTCTAGGAACTGGCCCCTCCTGATAACATGCCCTTTGACTCTAAGGTGTACTCCTTTCAAGTCAGATTTGTTGGCTCCTTTGGCAGTTTATGGTGTAGCCAACAGTCTTCACCAACACCACAATTCAAATGCATCAGCTCTTTTTTGGCCTTCGTTAATTGCTGTCCAACTTTCACATGCTTATGAGGTGGTTGGATACCCCGTGGCTTGGGGCAGATGTGCCTTAGCCCTTAAAGTAACAGCCGTGCCCTCTAGCACTTTAAAGAAATCTGACACCAGCTTTGTGCAATGCAATAAGTAGTTTGATTTCTAGACTGCTACTTCCATGAGTGTTGATTTGATCCAAGACAAGCATATCAGGAGTGAAAATTCTAGTAGAAAATATTATCTTTTTTTAAAAATTTTTTTATTTTTTACTTATTTTTTACAGAGGTTTTGGATTTCCATTCATTCATTGCTACAATTTTCTCCCTTCCCACCCCTCCCCACCAGCTCGCTTCCCCCTCCGAAGAGAGAAAAAAGAAAGAAAAAAAATTCCTTCATTAGTATACAATTCCCACGTCCCTTCCCCCCACCCCCCACCCCGAGTACACTTCTCTATGCAACCTTAATTCTGGATTCCTGTGCTAACCATAATACTCAATCATATATCACTTCTAATCTGTTTTTTCCCTCATCTGTTTCAATACAATATACATAATGACAGAAAAAAACTGGATAAATTATGTATATTGTATTGAAAATATTATCTTTAATACCATTAATGTATTAATGCATTAACATCTTTCTTGATAGGAGAAATACCAGCGGGAACAAGAGAAACTTAGAGAAGAGTGGCAGAGAGCTAAGCAAGAGGCCGAGAGAGAGAATTCAAAATACCTGAATGAGGTAGTGTTAAAGCATACCGTTTTTTAAAAAAATTATACTAGTTTATTTACAAAATTTAAATACATGGTTTTTAAGAAAAAAATTCTTTCATTTCCCTCACCCCACCCCTTTCAAATTGTACAACTCTATGATTAATCCCCCCCTTCCCCTGTACATCCTCTTTTTTCTGCTTCCACCCTCTCCCACCCCTCTTGGATCCTTATACTCATTCTACAATAATGGTTTTATACAATATTTATACTTGTGGGATTGGGTTAGTTCACTCAGCATAATGCTCTCCAATCCCTCCCAAGTTAGGTAATAATTTACAAAATCATTGCTTCTAATATTCCATTGTGTGGATGTACCATAATTTCCTCAATCCATTCATTTGTGGTTGGACATTTTGGCTGTTTCCATGTTCTTGCAATGGTGACTAATGCTGCTATGAACATTGGTATACAAATCTTCACTTGTGCCTCAGTTCTTATATTCTCAGGGTCTTTTCCAAGTTGTGGAATAGCTGGGTCATAGGTAATTTCCATGTTCAGCTTTTTGAGGAGCACCAAACTGCCTTCCTGAAATGTTGAACGTTGTTCTTTCTCTTTTTATTTTCTTGGCAAAATTTTTGAGAAATGGAATGTATACTTCAGCTTAACTTTTGACTGCATGTTTGCCCTCTGTATTTTCTTGAAATACACAATGGTCTCTGCGAAAGGAGTAGTTGTAGCATGGGGATGGCTGAGTCTGACTTCGATCAACCTCATAAAGGGAACTGTCCCCATCAATATATCAATAGCAGCAAATAGATATCTGCTTGATCAGACATGGCACCCCCATTCTCCTGCACATCTTTCTACCAATCATGTTGACTCACAGTTATGGTATCAAGAGTGGTGTTTATTAAGTTGGAAGGTGGTTGTTGTTGTTTAATGCCATCGAGTCGTAGACAACTCATAGTGACCTTATGAAAGAACAGCCTGAGCACTGTTCATACATCGAGTTTCCGGAGGCAAACCATTTTGGAGGTGGATGCCGCTCCTGCTTCCAGGCTTGATTTAGTCGGGAAGCTCCAGCCAACACTGTCCACCATGGGTGCCCATTACTATGATTGGCACATCACTGTCAGAGCAGTGCTATACCACCTAAAAGAATGTTTGACAGGAAGTCAATTTGAACCTGGCCCGAGGGCCGCAGTTGGAGGATAGGAGAGGTAAAGAATAACACCCGATGATAGTCTAGATTTTAGCCAACCAGTCCCAAGGCACAATTAATTCCTCAATTAGTGCAGGGTCCAATTTCAATTCTGCAGTCAGCTATTCCTTCCATCATCCAGCAAGAACATCAAAACCTTTAACTGTGGCCTTTACCTCAGGCTCCTCTGATTACACCTTACCACAATTTCTCCACAGCATAGCCATGGTCTCTCCACCAGGGTGTCACCAGGGTCTCACCACCAGGGTCCCACGCTGACTAAGATTCTAGCTCCATTCTCCTTCAAATCTTATTGCTCAGTGTGGGAAGCACTGTCTTTCTTATCCTAAATCCATAGCTGTTGATAATTTGTAGACTATGTGTCTGCAGTTAAGATATCTGGAGACCAGAGGGGGCTAAGGCAATGGCTAAAAAAGCCTCTGGAGACCAGAGGGGTCGGGTAAAGCAATGGCTAAAAAAGCCAACTTTAAGCTAACACCACAAACTCTGACCAGTTAAGATTTTGCTTTGAAATTTCAGCTCCTTCTAATTTCTCTAATATGTCATTGAATATTCACAGCAATAACACCTAAGAATTTTCCTTTACTAAGTTATAGCTCAGTTACTCAAGTGTGCTTTTATTTGTTTCTGAGGTTTTTTTTTTTAAGTGATAAAACTTTTTTTACATGATTTCACAAAGTCAGATTGAGGGTATAAGTACAATAGAAACCATTGAAAAGAAAAGTGAATGTTCAGATGTCTCTAAAAAAATTACAGAAGTAAACAGATTTTAGATTAATTTCTTTTCTTCTTGGTCACATAGGAGCTGATGGTCTTAAACTCAAGCAGCATTTCTCTAACCACAAGGGAGTCCCCTGTTGCCACTTGGGAAGCCTCCTGGGGTGAAGGGTCCAAATCTTCTGACCGGGAAGGAACGCGAGCGGGAGAGGAAGAGAGGAGAGAGCAGCCAGATGAAGATGTTGTTGAGGACCAAAGGAGGAAGCTGCAGGAACAACTACTTCTGGAGGATGAGAGGAAACTGAAGGAACAGCAGTATCAGGAGCAGGAGCAGAAGCATCAAAATGAGATTGAGGAGAGACGTCGGGCTGAGATTGAGGAACGAAGACTCCAGGCCGAGATTGAAGAGCAAAGACTCCAGGCCGAGATTGAAGAGCGTAGACATCAGGCCCTGATTGAGGAGCAGAGACACCAGGCTCATGTGGAGGAGCAAAGACGCCAGGCCCAGATTGAGGAGCAAAGACGCCAGGCCCAGATTGAGGAGCAAAGACGCCAGGCCCAGATTGAGGAGCAAAGACGCCAGGCCCAGATTGAGGAGCAGAAGAGGCGTCAAGCTGAAGCTGAGGAGCTGAAGCGACACACAGAAGAACAGAAGCGTCAGGCAGAAAAAGAGCGGGAAACTTCAGTGAAAATATACCAGTATAGAAGGTCAGTTTGCACAGCCAATGGCATGTTTTTAAAGAAATTTGTTTAGCATTTTTGTCTCTACTGTAAATAGCAACTCATTGATCATTCCCACTTCCCAGCATAAGTTCTTTACACAAATGAATAGTAACAGCCTAAAGGGCCCCTTTAAATGGTTACTTCCAAGACTTTGCCATGATCTAGAAGACTCCTCTGAGCTACATCCAGGCCCTGTCTTTTACCTAGCCACCTATCACTGTGTTCTCCCTCATTCTGTTACTCTGTCCCAGCTACATCGGCCTCCTTTTTATTCCTTGAAAATACCAACATGTCCTGTTCTTAGGCTCTTATACTTTCTAGTCTCGCTGCCTACACAAGTCTTCCCTCACTTGAATGTGTCTTGCTAACTCCTTTTGCTCAAACATCTCCTTTTAAGACTTTCCAGAAGACCTGGATTAAAACTCAGGGCTCTTTCCATCCCTTCTCTCTCCCTTTGTGCTGTTGTATGTTATGCATTTGTTCTCTTCTCTTTGGTCCTGTCTGCCCCAGTTATGTGTAATATTACAATGGGAATTAACTTTATGTTCACTTCCGTAGCCCAGCTCTAGAATAGTACTGGCAAAGAGCAGGTGTTCAGAATATATTTGAAGACTGAATGAATGAGTAAATGAAGGGGGTGCATATGCCTATTGGGATGAGAAGATCTGTTTGTGGAAAGACTGTTTGAAATGCATTAATATGCTTGGTTTTTTAACCAGAACCCATTCTCATAAAAGTGTCTCAAATCATAAACCAAACTTGCTGCTGTTGAGTCAATTCCAACTAAGTAACACTGCTTAAGGAGCAGATGCAACGTGGGAGTGGCAGAATCTGAATTCTTTCCATTTCCTAAAAGAAAGCTGTCCCCATCAACAACATCCATGTTGTAGTTGTTGTTATGTGCCATCAAGTCACTTGCGACTCAAAGTGATCCTACGTACAATAGCCTTAAACCTTGCTCTATCTCTTGCCAAAATTGTTGTCTCTGACACACCTAATGCCATTATCTCAGTGATGGAATCAGTCCATCTGATCGAGGGTCTTCCTCTCCTGCACTGGCCCTCCACCCTTCCAAGCATGACATCCCTCTCTAAGGAATGATTGCACCTTGCAGCATGTCCAAGTATGTCAGACAGAACTTCAGAATCCTTGCCTCTAAGGAGTAGCCTCACTTCACACTCTCCAGGATGACCTTGTTTGTTCTTCTAGAAGTCCATGGTATATTCAATACTCTTCTCCAGCACCAAAGCTCAAAGACATCAATTCTCCTTCTGTCATCCCTAGTCATTGTCCAGCTTTCTGATGCATACAGGTAATCACAAAGATCATGGCCTATATCAGGCACACTTTAGTCTCCAGACAGATGTTGTTGCTCCTCAGTCTCTTGGAGAGGTCTCTGACAGTAGACTTTCCCAATGTAATTTGCCTTTTAATTTCCTGACTACTGGTACCAAGAGTCTTGATTGTAGATCCAAGCAAACTGAAGCTGTCAACAATGTCAATCTCTTCACTCATAGTACCAAACACATAGCTACATGGTCAGACATGTTGATCCAATGTTCTTTGCAGCTTGACTGACAGACTTTACTCACAGTTGTGAGGTATATTAGGGAAATAGCTTGGGGAGTGGGGGAGGCAGAGAATATCACACAACGCAAGTCCAGGTTTAGTCCAGCAGTTCCAAGCCATGTTAACAAAGCATAATTTCTAAATTAATGAAAGTCCATGTTCAGTTCATGTACAGCCCATGTATAGTTCAGCAGCACAAATTCACCTCTAGTTTCCTCTGTCATCCAGATAACTATCTCAAAGCAGTTACAAGTCAGATTTTCCTTTTATCACTCAGCAGCCAAAAGTTTTAAAACTGTGGCTCTATCTCTAGGATTCTTCTGGTTAGACCTTGCTCCAGTCTCTTCACAGCATTGCCAGAGTGTCTTCACCCTCTTTCCACCACCATGTTTCACAGTGTGGAAAGCCTTGGCTTTTGTTGATCCCACAGCTGTTGATGATTTGCAAGACTGTGTGTCCAGTTAAGGTAGCTGGAGACCATGCCTGTAATGGGGGCTAATATAATGCATAAAAATGCCAGTTTAAAAGATTTTGACACCACAAAACCTCAATCTGATTTCTCAGGCTATCAATCTTAATGGAAGCAGACTGCTTCCTATTTCTGCTGTTAGAATAGTCAGTGGGTCTGACCTTTCAGCATTTTGGTTAGCAGTTCAACACTGAACCCATTGTACACTGTTGTTGTTGGTGTTGAGGCAAGTATGACTGATCGCAATCCTATGAACACTTCACCATATCTGACACATTTTAATTGATTGCTGCAATCACAGTGTCAATCCACCTCATAGTCTTCCTCTCTCTCACAGCCCCTCCACATTTCTAAGCTTGACGTCTCTTTCCAAAGATTAGCCTTTATCAACAACATGCCCAAAATAGATCAAACTTTGTCGTCTCTGCCTCTGCAAAGCATTTTGGCTGCATTTTATAGGGAGCCTAATAGAGTGTCTAGAATATTGTCATTTTGGTTTCTCAATCTTCAACTTAAAGAAGGCCTTTCAGTTTAATGTTTTGACTGAAATACATTTTTTCCATCCTCTAGGCCTCTTGATTCCTATGATCTACCAAAACAAGAAGAACAACCTTCAGGTCTGCTTCCTAGTGACAGGTTTGTAACACATTTCATTGTTACTAATGATGTCAGGTCAAAGCATTGAAAAGAAATCATCAGCTTTAAAGAGCATTATCTTTAATGTTTTTCTTTCATAAATATAAAAAAGGTGTTCCTTATGTGACATATTTAGAATATTCCGTTTTTATAATAAATACTAAGTTGGTAATAAGTGGCTTCAGATGAATCTTCCAGGACTTGTCGAGGTATTTGGACACTTGTTTTAAGCCCTTCATCTTTTGTGGGCCACACAGAGACTTTCTAGTTTATCTGTGTATCTGTTAACTTTTGCTGTATAACCAATGGCTGCTAAACTTAGCTTCTCAGCATGTGATTGTGTTCCCAAGGATATGCGACTGAGGTTAATTGGGCATTTCTAAGCTTGTTTCTGTTACTGGTTAGTAAAACAGCTCTGCTTTTTGAGGGTTGGCTGACTGTCAGCAAGAGAAAAAAGAACAATAATAGGCCTTGTGTCTCGACATCAGCAGACCAGTGTGACTAAATAGATAGATAGATGGATGGATAGAAAGATACAGAGATAGACTGAGCGAGGTAGAAGGAATGAAAAGGGAGGATGCATGCAAGGAATCTTAAGGTCATCTTTGCTTCTGCCACATTCTCTTTTCTAACCCACCAAGTCCAGCTCAAGAAAACCGAGGGCAAAGAATTGCTTTCTCTTTACGGGAGGACTCAGACTGCAAGATACATGGGTTTGGACAAGGCAGAATAATATTCATGTTTTGCAAGCTCTACCTAACCCTTTCTTTATTTCAAGAAAATGATGAGCAGTGACTTAAATTTACCCTGATTTTCTTTCACCTGGATGTCGGAAATGAAATTTGTGACTTTTCTCTTAGACAACTTGGTGTGAACTAGTGGTTAGATTTTGGAGGAGTAAAGTTAGGATTTTAAGTATCTGAAAATTTACACATCTAGAACATTTTTAAATCATTATATTTATAAAAAGCCATTTTGAAAATGCTTTGTGTTTTTGAAATTACTAAGGATTTCCAAATAGTCTGTGACTATTTGTTAACTGGCCATGCTGTTTTCAGAGCTGATATTTCTCCCTTCCTTACTGAAGACAAGGACTCTGACAACTGTATACAATCAAGACGGCTGAACGAGGCTGAGAACAGTTATGTGAAAGACTAGGACTAGCTACATAGGAGTGAACAGCTCCTAGGCTAAGGGGAATATTTAATGGTACATGGCCTCACTTTTTTAAGTAGCTACGCTTGTTTCTCTTTTAAAGAACTATTGATTTGGTGGTCTATTTAAAGAGGCTTTATTTATGCAGCTCATTACTTTGGGAAAAACAGTTAGGATGCAGTCCTGATGGAGCATGTCCTAGAGGCATAAAAGAGTCCTACTCATCTAGTAAACAGTTTCTTCTCTGTAAAAGGAGGTGACACTGCTGGAGAGTACTGTTTAATAATTGTCGCACCTTGTCACCGTGTATTATATATGGTTTATATGTGTTATATATTATTGTGTTTTCATACTGTTTACCATTGAGTCTGAACCGACCCATACCTGACTTTCCAGTGGGTTTTCAGAGGCAGTTAATTGCTCGGAGGAAATTGCCCATCCTTCTTCCACAGAGCAGCTGATGCCTTCATCATTGCAGCATTGCTTCTTGCCACTAGAGCTCCCCATACATTATTAGATATATCTATCTAAGGTTGGCACAGGATAGAGCAGGTTTCAGAGCTATTGTACTTAGGGTCACTATGAGTTGCAAGTGACTAGATGGCGCATAAGAACAACATTTATCTATAGATATTCTCTCTCTCTATACACACACACACACACACACACACACACACACACACACACACACAAGCTCTGGTGGCCTAGTGGCAAGAAGCTGTGCTGCAATCTCAAAGGCATGTGGTTCAAGGCCACCAGCTGCTCCATGGAAGAATCATGAGCAGTCTCTGCTCTCCAATTAACTAGCTCTGAAAACCTACCAAAGGGTCAGCTATGGGCCAGTTCTGACTCCACGGTACACAACAATAACAACAACATGTACACGTGTATATCATGCATTTTTATTCTTGTTGTTTTTACTGTAATTCTTTTTTGAAGCTCAACGTTCCTGGGAAAGTGAAATCAGTATCTTGATAATAGATTGAACTATTAGAAAGGTAGGCACCTTTAGAATGGATGCCTTCTTGGGCATCCTGGGGGTGGCCTGTGGTCAGCTGCTGTTTCACAGTGCCCTTGGTGCCCTAATGCCTGTGCAGTGGCCGTGCCACCCTTGGGCAGGGTGGAGGAAATGGGAAAGGCACTTTTCAGGTATTCTGACGATTCTTTGTGTGGCAGGGTACGACTGATAATCTGAAACAGAGTAAAAATGTAAAAATTAACACCGACAAAACAATAGATGGCCGTAGTCCCTGCACAGGTGGGAGGAGCACTTTCACATACCTTCAGGTTTATGTTTAGCATCCGACTCATCTCTGTTTGGGGCTGTCACTTTCATTGTCAGTTATTTAGTGCAACCTGAAAGATTACTTGGTATAAAAAGAAATCGAGCTCTCCACAGACCTAGAAAATAAATCAACTGCTTTATAAAAAGCAATGCGTAGGGGTATTTTTCCTTCGTAAATAAGAAAAAAATGTTCTTAATATGACATGTTTAAAATATTCTGTGTTTCAGGAATAAATCTCTATCCACTACTGAACTGGATGGTTTTCCCACAAGTAAAAATGGTAAATAAGATTTTTTTTTTGCTCCCAATTTTTCAGTACAGTAGTTTATGCTACTGCATGTTACAGTCAGTATTGTTAAGGACAGAATCTATTATAACATTTGAAATACTAAGTATTTTTAGCAGTTTATATAAAAGTAACAAAACAAGTTAATTTGTGTGTGTGTGTGTGTGTGCGCGCGCGCATGCTTATGTGGCTTTACCTTACAATGGAAAGAGTCTGAAGAAAGTAAAATGATTCTTGTGTGGCTAATGAAATATGTGGGAATTTTCCATAGTGGTGCTCATAGATTTCTATAATAAAGATCATCTTACAGCCAAAGAAATTAGACCAAAAAGATTTTACAGAATATTAGGGAACTTAGAAATTGTATGACTTTGAAACAGAGCACTGACTCACCAGAATGTCCCAAAATCCATATTGGAAGCTATTGTTGTTATGCACCATTGAGTGGGGTCTTTATCATGTTTGGCGATTAACTAAGACAAGAAATGGGTGAACTGGGTCCTAAGAAGCATCCTGGCCCATGTACTAGGATATGAGGCCCCAGGCCCAAGCACCCAGAGCTCAAGGCTGCCTCTCTTAGTATTTGTGACTCGCTCAAAGGCCATACCTCTTTGGTGGTTTGAATCCACCAGTGGCCCCTCTGCAGATAAGAAATCCCTTCTCATGTGATTTATAGCCTCAGAAACCCATTAGAGGGTTCTTGGCAATGAGAAAGAGATGACAAATTTGGTTATGTTTTAGTGTACAGGTTCTCCCATTTATTTATGGATTGAAGTTCCTAGAATAGCAGTGACACATTTAATGATTTCTTGTATCTGGAACTTATTAGATATTTAATTGATCAACTTATGCCAATAAAGTAACTTTTATGTAGACACCATTTTAGTTAACATATGATGAAATTGACAAGATTGGTGTGGGCACAACTATTAGCATAGACTTGCAGAAGAAGCCTTCAGGTGGCCTTTCTTGGTGCTTTCTGAGAAATAAACTAGGACAGAGACTAACCTTGAAATCTGGAGGAACGATGACTGCAGTAGGTCAAAAGATTGAGAGAAAAGAAACTCATGTTCAGATGACATTGCTCGATTGAAATTGAGGTGTGTGTATGTGTGTGTGTGTGTGTGGGGGTGATACTTCCAAGTTGTGGATGTTTTACCCAAGTCAGAAGTTAACCCAACAAAACAAAGCCCTCAGGATAAAAAAAAAATACTATAGTTCTATTAGTTTCCTAAAGCAAACACAAACCTGATAACATTTCCTGGGTCATCATTCACATGATTTAAATGATTTTTTACGTTCACAAATACCATTTAAGTGTCTCACATTACTTTCGGCCCCTGTAGCTGGGTCACGATTTATTCCATGATTTGTGTCAGGAGGGCTGGGATCTTGCAGTCTGGAGATATATATGGTCAGTGTTTCCTCTCTCTCACCAACAGGACCCTTTTGCAAGAAGAAAACACCCTATTCCCTGTAGAGCAACCCCAGAGAACTTTTAATAGTATTGAATGGGGGAGGGGGAATTGAACGATTTAACTTCAGAAAGATGTAAAGAATAGAAGAGAAACTGTTTCTAACTCAGCATGTGTAAACATAACAGTGCTACAGTGAGCCATTTACATTTTCCTAAGTGGACCCTCATGGTGTTTCTCTGGCTGTAACACTGGAATTTCCAGGAATCTGAGACTATTACTCTATGTTCTCGAATCCCAGCCACTGTGAGACTCAGTCATGTTAGCAAACGTGCACAGGATCACACTTTGGCTGGCCAGTATTTGACGGTTTAGTTATTATTATTTGTTTTTAATGTGTGGCTCCTGAAGCTTTTACGGTGTTGTTCTTCTAGGAGGCACTAAATATGTTGGGAGTGCCAGCACATCCCAGAGGAGCTACAAGAAGGAGCAAGCCCCATCCGGAGCCGAGTTGGAGAGACAGCAGATCCTTCAAGAAATGCGCAAGAGGACATCGCTTCACAATGACAACAGCTGGATCCGCCAGCGCAGTGCTAGTGTAAATAAAGAGCCCATTAACCTGCCTGGGATAATGAGAAGGTACAAGACATCTTAGGAGTGAGATCCTGTTCTCTGCTCTTCTCCCTGCCACGGAGTCAAGTCCCCTCAGAGAAACCCTCCATCGGGTTTCCAAGCCTGTGCATCTTTCTGCAAGTAGATGGTCCATCTTTTCCCCCTTGAATTCAAGCAGCTGACCTTTTGGCCAGCACTGAAACATAAATAGCACAGTGCTCCAGAGGGCTCCTTCAGTCTTACCGTAAACCAGGTGACTGTGTAGGCATGTTGAATTGGCTTTGTAGAGAGATGTGCTACGCCAAAGGCGACACCTCTGTGGCATTCAGATCCATCAGCAGCTGCACTGGAGTGAGAGGGCCAGTCTCTTCTGGTGTGATTTACCGTCTTAGAAACTCAGTGAAGGGTCAGCTGTGAACCCCTTCCACCTCGGTATCAAGGAGTTTTGAGCAGAACCGGTGTCATCATCATTTCTCTTCCTTACCTAGGGTTATTTTTAGATTTTTTTTAATTGAGATTTTAATTGAAGTTTATAGAGAACTCAGATTTCCATTCATTCATTGTTGCACATTTTCTTTCCTACTCACCCCCACCCCCAGTTTGCTTTTCTTTTTGAGAAAGAAATTCTTTCATTGTTGTACAACTCCCCCACCCTCACCCCCTTTACTACGCAGCTCTTATTCTGGACTGTTGTCATGCCAATAATGCCTAATCATATGCTCCTTTTTTGCCTAGGGTTTTGTGGGAGAAAAAGAAGTAGAGAAATGTCACAGAGTCACTATTAGGTGTCACACTTATGCCAACTGGTTTCTTGGCCTGATACTTCATCTGAGGAAAATGTTTTGAGACAGAGGCACATGTTCAATATTGACAATTATATAAGGAAATAGAAATTCTCATTTCCAGTTGTGTCAACACTATGTAGTGGGTATAAGGAAATATTTATATGTCCATGAGAAACTTTCGCTTCTAAATAGCACATTGAACAGGGAGCTCTGGTGATATAGTCTGTAGGAGTGAGATTTAAAATTTTAAAAGAAAAAAATAATTTGAAACCTGGGCTAAGATATTTTTTTGAAACAACAAAACTGGAATTGTTCTTGTTAAGGGAAAATGTTTGAGTTAATTTAGGGCTAATTTTTGTAGATGAGTATGAATATAGACATTTAAGAACTATTTTTCAAAAGTTTTGTTTAAATCCACTTAGGAGCCAAATCCTGGTGTACGTGCATATTCAGTTCACTTTAAAGGGGTATTTGATGACTCCTTCCTATGTACAACTCAACAGTTGTTAAACTTGTGGCTTAGGGTTGTGAGAATGAGGTTTGCATAGTGGCATGGCTTGAGTTACTTTGATGTCAAAGGCTTTGCTTTGAAAGCCATTTCTACCACTTACTAGCTGTTTTACCATGAACAAGTCACCTACTTTCTCTAATATTTAAAAATGATCTTATATAGTTGTTTGGAAGCAGGAGTGGCATCCACTTCCTAACCTTCAGAAACTCTCTGAACCTTGATAAATGTCCATAGTTGTAGAGAGTCTTCAGGCCTTTTGTTCATAGGGTCGCTATGAGTCATGCTCGACTCAAAGGCAATCATCACCACCACCACCAACAACAATAGTTGTGTGAGGAGTAAATAAGTGGATTTTGTTTGTTGTTTGTTTGATGGGTGTGTTTTTTTTTTATAGTATTTAGACTAATATCTAATAAATGTGTGAATGCTTTAAAAAGGTATATTTTTGAAAGTACAAGCTAGGTTTAGAAGAGGTCATGCCACTACAGACATTATTGCTAATGTCAGATGGATTCTGGCAGAAAGCAAAAGTACCAGAGGAATGTCTATCTGTGTTTCATTGACTTGCAAAGACATTTGACTGTGTGGATCACAACAAAGTGTGGTTAACCTTGAGGAGAATGGGAATCCCAGAACACTTGATTGTGCTTATGCGAAACCTGTACTAGGACCAGTAAACAGTCCTCAGAACACAGCAGGGAAACACTGCATGGTTCAAAATCAAGAAAGGAGTGCATCAGGGATGCATCCTGTCTCCATACCTTTTCAGTCTATATGGAGAACATAGGCACAGCTCTATGAGGAGAAATGTGGCATCAGGATTGGGGAAAACTCATCAATAGCCTATGTTATGCAGATGACACAACCCTGCTTGCTGAAAGTAACCCGAAGTGCTTGCTATAGAAGGTCAAGGTCTGTAGTCTTTGATATGGATTAAAGCTCAACATCAAGAAGACAAAGATTCTCACCGCTGGGCCAATTGGCAGCCTGCTGAATGAGGAAGAGATTGAGGTTGTTAACAGTTATAGATTTCTTGGTTCTGCAGTCAACACTCTTGGCACCAGCAGTCAGGAAATCAAAAGACAAATTGCTACTGTTTAAAGAATGAATGTCTGGCATTTTAGCATTAGCTTTATTTTTTTTTTTTACATAGTATTTTCTTCACAGATTTCTCCCTCTATTATTTACTATTTAATCAAGTACCAAATAATTAAAATATAAATATGCAAAAAAATAAATGGAACTTGGTTGAAATGTGAAACATCATGGTACTTCAAATAATGAAGAGAAACTTCCTGTGATCAAGGCAATTAGATTTCTTAGTTTAATACTTGCTTAGAAACACATGAAGTGGGCATTGTGGCACAGCCAGTAGGGAGTTGAGCTGCCAGCCCAAAGCATAGCTCTCTGCTGATTCAAATCCACCAGCGGCTCCACTGGAGAAAGGCGGGCAATCTCCCATCTCCATGCAGTTTACAGTGTCAGAATCCCAATGGCGGGTCCGCTATGCATTGGTCCTGATTCACTGGCAATGAGTTTGAGGTTTTGTGTGGGTGGGTGTGGTGTGTGGGTATGAAACAAACCCTGAAGGGATGTCTGGTGTCATAAAGGGTTGGCAATGAGAGAAAATGTTCTGTTGGAGTCCCTGCATAGTGCAAACAGTGTGCTCAGTGCTAACCCAAAGGTCAGGGATTTGAGTCCACCCAGCGGTGTCTCAGAAGAAAGAACTACTGAAAAAGTGAACACTGGAAACCCTGTGGAGCACAGTTCTGCTCCTTCGTACACGGAGGTGTCATAAGTTGGGTTGACTCAAATGCTGAGTTGTTTCAACTCAAATGCTGTTAACCAGGCTGACAGGCCTCAGAAACCCAGTGGATGATCAGCTTTGCGTCTTGATGCAAGGGCAATGAGCTTGAGTTTTTTATGTTGACGACTCCTTTATATATTTCAGAGGCGAGTCTTTAGATAACCTGGATTCCCCAAGATCCAATTCCTGGAGGCAGTCTCCTTGGCTCCATCACACCACAGGATTCCATTCATCTTCCTCTGAGCAAGACTTCAGTCGCCCACCACCTCAGCTGGTGTCTACATCAAACCGCGCCTACATGCGGAACCCCGCCTCCAGTGTACCTCCTCCTTCAGCTGGTTCCCTGAAGACCGGGCCCTCAGGTGTCTCCACCGCCCCGTCCCCTACACCTCGCAGCCATTCCCCGTCAACCACACAGTCCAGCTCACAGCCACGCAACAGGTAAGTCCCTTCAAGTTTCTCTCTTTCTTCTTTTATCTCATAGGTACTCTTCCTTTTAAATTTCCCAGCTCTCTTGCCAAGCTTTCTAGTGAATAAGAAAACCCAACTCCTTTCAATGTGCCAACCTCTGTGTTTTGTCTTATTAGAGCTACGTTTAATTAGGAAGGCTCTCTGGATACTTTTCTGTGCTATCCATGGTACCTTAAAAGCCTTTATGGGTCTCTTCTGAAGCCACTTAGACCTTTAAAATGTCTCTTTTATTGCCACTATCTTGTCTGCCTGTACTTGTGGTCTGTGCCTTAGATGTAGATGCAAATGAATAGTCTTCAATGTGACTCATAAAAGTGCACAATAGCTCGTGAATGCGTCTCAAATTTATGAGTAAAAGCTGTGTTATAAAGTGTCTGTCTTGATGGCTGCCATGCAAACTTGTTTTAGAACAAGTGTTTTTGAAAGGCAGGCATTATAACCAAGCTGTGCAACCCATGAGCTTTTACCAGTTGGACCAAAATAATAGTAAAAGTAAATTTGACCTTATTTTTTAGATTTTTTAAATGAGTCTTCTATAGGCCTTATGCCATGTAAGAAATGACATCTCCAGTGGAAACTTGCCTTTGGGTATGGAAGAAAGAAGGCATGTGTCTTTAAAGGTTAAGCAGTTTCAGGCTGGTGTTGATTCTCCACTGATAACTTAAGCTCCCGGCAACTGTGTAGTTGTGATGCTTCTGTTGTGAGCAATTTAGGTTGGCATAGAGTACTTTTCACTATAAAGGAAATACTTTCTGATAAAAACACAGTGGTTAATATTAGAGTTTTACTTTTCAGCTGTCAAATGTGGAACATTGATAAGCTGGCATGTTATGCCAATCCCAAAAAACATGGCATGAACTAAACTAAAAAAAAAAACAACAAAAACCCTCAAACTTGTGGCTGACAAGTTGGTGCCAGCTGATGGCTGACCCTTCACTGGGTTTCGGAGACTGTAAATCACACTGGAAGAGATTGCCTGCCTTTCTCCTGAAGAGCTGTTGGTCAGTTCCAGCTGCCAGATGGATGCCACCTATGGCTTAGTAAGCAGTGCAGTTCCTACAGGTTATGCCACCTGAGCTCCCTGCATGTACAGAACGTGTACTTGGGAGTTTGAATTGACAGGAGGGGGAGCAAGGATTTATGGTGAATTTAGGGGCCAATGAGATGGAATTTGGGGTGCTGGGAAAACAGAGGAGAGGTTACTTATGTATCTACTGAGAGATTTGCTCTTGGAGAGCAAATAGGAGTCGGGTTTTGACATTTTCTGGCCTGAGCGTGTCTCTATCTCAAAGGTAGCCTTCTAAACATGCCCCCAACATTGATAGCTCACGGCTCAGTGGGACTGAAGCTCAATGCTGTACTGTGGGGCTGCAAAGGTAAACAGAAGTGACCTTGACCTTATCACTTGGAAGAGGAGATAAGACTTGTATCTAAAATGGCTTAGATATTCTTCTTACCTAGCTAGGTGGTAACTGTGTGAGGTGATTTTCTTTTTATTTCATGCCAAAGTTGAGAGTCAGATTATCACAGACATGCTCTTTAACTAGAGCACTGAGTGAATAAGAAAGGGTAAAAGAGAAAATTGAGAGGGTAGCAGATGGGGAACTCTAAGAGCCTCATGAAAGAAGTTGGGCTGTTCTGTTCTTTGGATTGACAAAGCTGGAGTTCTCTTGTCATGTTAGACTGGTGAGATGTGGGATGGCTTAGAGGAGGGGGGAGCAAGTGGTGGGCAGAGGCATCTGCCAAGCAGAAAGAGGATGGAAACTGGTCCAGAACGGACCAGTCTCACTGGAATGGTGATTATGTGAAGAAGTGCCAAGAGTCCCTGAAGATCCTTCAGTCATGATATTCTCAAGGCGTATGGTTGGTTGGCTTGTGAAAAATCCCCTCCCACTGATGTGTAGACCTTTGTGAATTCTTCCTCAATGTTGACCCCTCCAAGTGGCTTTTGCAATATTGACCTTGCACGATAAGAACCCCTTCTTGTTCCGCGTCTAGGTCGGTCAGTGGAAAGCGCGTGTGCTCCTCCTGCAATAACATTCTAGGCAAAGGAGCCGCCATGATCATCGAGTCCCTGGGTCTGTGTTATCATTTACATTGTTTCAAGGTGAGCTGGAGACCAGCGGCCCACAGGCCCGCACAGCTTCGCTTGGAGAGCGCATGGCCGCTTTGCGCTCTGGGTGCTGAGGCGCATTAACCAGCCTGCCGCTTGCCAGCGCCTGACTGCCGTGCTTGGGATCGCACACCGCCGCTGTTACTCACATCCTGACCCCGGTGCCCAAAAGTTAATCTAGAAAGGCTACGCACTTTCTGGTTTTCATCTGTGAGCATGTGTGAGAAAAATGTGTGGTGTATAAATGGCTTCTCTTAACATGCTGCCACTGGTGCCTGCCAGATATAATTACCATTGTTATCAAGAGCATGGGAACACGCTGTTATCATAGTGTCTGAAAGCTTAACTTTGGCTCAAACCAAACCAAACAACCCAAACCTGTGACTCTTGAGTTGCTTTTGACTCGTAATGACCCCACAGGACAGAGTAGAATTGCTCCATCGGGTTTGCAAGCTTGTAATCCTCACAGAAACAGATCACTTCGTCTTTCCCATCAGTGCAGCTGGTTGATTTAATCCACTCACCTTTCAGGTGGCATCCAGATGCTTAAAACACTGCATTACCAGGGCTCCTTTTTGTTCTTCTGCTGTGGCTCAGAACCCTCAAATTCACTGCCGTCTAGCCTGACCCAATTAATAATTGACCCTCCAATGGGTTTCTGAGGTCGTACAGGAGGGAGATTGGCAGAGCCGCTGATGGAGTCGAACCACCACAGAGATGTGGCCTTTGGGTTAGCAGTACCCCACCCCATGGACTGTGCCCCCAGAACTCCCGGGGTTTGACCAGGGAGGGTTCATGATGAAAGTGTAAATATGTTTACAAGTGCACAGGCTGTTGACACTCGGTGGGATTTTGCATAAAGACAGACCAGGCTGTGCTTCCTGTTGGCAGTGCCTGTGTCTAGAGACACGCATGTTCCCTTCTTGAACACACTGGGTTAGAAAAGGATTTCAGCTGTCGCCACCAGAGCCCTGCAGACCACAGCTTGTCTCAGCTTGCATATCGCTGGCTGGGGTTGTTCCTCGCCACAGCCAAGTGAGGCCAGATAATGTAATGTTTGAGCACGTGGAACCAAGATGGCCAGCCTTGATGTGAGGGCAACACATGGGACAAGTGGCCAAGCCCAGTGCAGTGGGAACTCAGGCGTGGCCTGTCTCGGCTCGTGGAGCCAAACCCAGATGCCATTCACGTAAATGGGTACTTTCATGTGGTACCACGTCCTTTTTCCTTCCCCCGGATGGCAGCAAAGACATAATTTTCTTAAGCTAATTGGTGGACCATTGCTGGTTTTAGGAATCCTTAGACTGACCAACTTGGTTCTTGAAATTGGCTTTATGAGTCCTTTAAATGCTGTCTCCTCTGGCAAGCTTCCTTTCAGTCGACTAATTATTTTTGGCCTTTTTAGTTTCTTTTGCTGTTGCTGAAATGCACCCTAGGAGCTTAGAAGCTGCATTCTGCTCCTCCACCCTCCTCCTTCCCGGGTGCCCCAAGCTTTGCTGAGCCGCGTGATCACGGATGTCCTCTCTTGTTTTTTTATCCCCCTTCCGCAGTGCGTGGCCTGTAAGTGTGACCTCGGGGGCTCTTCCTCAGGAGCCGAAGTCAGAATCCGAAACAACCAGCTGTACTGCAACAACTGCTATCTCAGATTCAAATGTAAGAGAGCAAATCAGAGAGAAAATTTCTTCCCTTTTAAAGAGAACGAGGGTGCCCTTGCTTTGTCCTGATTCCGTGGTCAACTCCCATCCTTCCTCCCTGACCTAAAATTCTGGTTTTGGGGAATCTTAGTTAATCCTCTTGGAAGAGGAGTGGGTCATGGGCTCCGGATTCTAGCCTAACAAGGGTAAGAAGTGGGACCGGGAGTGACAGGGGAACAAGTGCGTGGGAACCAGCAGGGTCCTGTGATGATTACTCAGGGACAAAGAGCAGCTAAACAGGAAAAGACAGAAGACAGGCACCTAAGACCATGAACTTGAATCTTCTACAGAGACTGAAGTCTGTGTTGATAATTGATTGATCTCTCTAACATCTTCACCTTAGTTCTAGAATTTGACAACAGGCTTCAAATATATGATTTGGAAAATGACCAATGTTCCAAACTATCCTTTTAAAAAACAATAAAGACTAAGCAATCAACTTATGCTTTGTTTTATAACGCCATGATATGATATATGGGGGGGGATGTGTGTGTGTGTGTGTGTGTGTGTGTGTGTGTATGTATATATATTAGAAGAATACATTCATTCTAATGATATGGCGTTTCAGTTTAATTTTTGGAATAAGTAGAGTTTTTCCAGCTCTTCCAAATTGTACTTAGTGTCTAAGCATATTTTATTTGTCAGTATGTCAACATGGGCTCACATAATCGTTGTAGTACGTTGTTGATAGCTACGGAAAGACAACCATTATTGCTGTTTATATTTTGAACTTTGATGCTGGTAACATGTGTTTCTTCCTCGCTGTGAAATGGAATTACAAGTGGTATCAGAAAAACAATTTGCTTTTGAACTCAGAGGTATTTATATGGCCTTTTATGTGAAGAGTGCTTTTGTAAATGGCTTAAAGCCCAGTCAACTCTCTTTTATCTGTCGATGGGTTCTGAACCCTTTTACACAGCTGTCCAGTTCTTTGCTGGATGCTGACATTGGGGTTGGAGAATGTCAAGGCTGGGCACATTATGGGGGGGAGTGTGTGTATGTGTGTGTCCTTTTCTTTCTTTAAGCAAATTCCAAAGCCAAACAGAATTGATTTTTGGAATTGTCATTAAAAAACTTGGCCCATGCCTTTTTCTCCCCTCCAATGCAAATAATAGAGAGTTGAATGTCATTTATTTCTATCATCAGCAATTATTTTTTGCTCCATTTTGGCATATACCAACTTCTAGCGCCCAGAGGCTGAGAATTTGTTCAGCTTTGTCACGAGGGGAGTGACAAGGTTACTCTTTCCACCTCCCGGGCCATTCTCTTGAGTGATGACTGCGATGTATCCCAGGTGACGAGTTTCAAGTGGCCTTGACTCTAAGTGCTTCTCTTTCTTCTCTCCTTGCCTGATCAGCTGGACAGCCAACTGCCATGTGATGTAACCCTCCACACGAAAGCACTGTTGCAGATAGAAGAGGAGGTGGTTGCTGCGGATGTAGATCTATAAATACATGTTGTCTGTCTTTTTCGCTCTCATTTTTTAAAACAATAACCCTCCCTCTTTTTGCCTTTTTAGATTTAGAAGCATTATATTCCTGATACAACCTGTATTTTGTTGTTGTTGTTTATTTATAAGAAGACAATTATGGGGGGAGGAGGGAAGCGCAGTATTTACTTTTTGAATTCAACCTATTAAAAGCACAAGGGAAGAAATGACACTTTCAAAGTTTCTTTTTGAGGTTGTTAATGATATGGTTTGACATTTTTGTGGTGTTTTAAAGAGGGTATTTTGTTGTGTTCTCTTTTTTTAAGACTCTTAAGCGTTATTGGAGATAGTTAATATAAATATGTAATTGCATTTTCTTTATTACAATATGTTCTAAATTAATGCAGAACCATATGGAAAATTTCATTGAAATCCACTCCCAAATTTGCTTTTTGTATCCTTTTTCCCACTTGTGTAATATTATGATTAAAAAAAAAAAGTAGCCTATGTAACATCTTATTTTGAGGGGAGCTATATTTTCTTCACCAGAATTGTTACTAAGAAATTGTCAATAGGAAGCATCTTTTTCACTAACAAAAAACCCCCCATGGTTTGTATACAGAAGGCTTTCTTCAGAAACTAATGAGCCTGTCAATTAAACTGCATTTGTAAATAAAATTGCTGATGCATTTCAAATGAGTGCTTGCCTTGTGTCTATGTCTGTGTCTTTGTGTCTTGTGGTCAGAATTTCTTGCTGCTGTTTTTGATTTACAGCTTTTAGAAGAACAGTTGACAAGTAACAAACCATGTACAGATAAAGCATATAATTTGACAACTTGTGACATATGTAAAGCTATCACCAAAATCTTAAAATTGTTCTTGCTTAAAAGTTTTAATGAGGAATCCCCCCCCCTTTTTTTTGTTGCAAAATTGTATTATTGAATACAAGTGTGTTTTATGGTAAGAGGTGAGTTAAACTGTAAATTGTTGCAACATTTGCATACAGTTAGTTCTTGTTTATTCATGATGTGGTTGTTGTTAAGTGCCATCAAGTCGCAGGCGACTCATAGTGACCCTATGACGGAGAGTCCTCAACGCTTGGGTGCCTTTCTTCCTCTCTCCAGGTTCATAGGGTTTCCAGAGGCAAGCTATTATTGAAGTGGATGCCACTCCTCCTTCCAAGCTTGTTTTAATCGGGGAGCTCCACCCCACTCTCTGTCCACATTGGGTAGCCAAGCATTAATGCATTTGACACATCAGTGTCACAGTGTTCAGCCTCACAGCAACCACAAGTGACCGCTGTACAGCAACTTGTACACCAGGGCTATACGACCTAAAGGAATGTCTGACCAAAAACAATGAAAGACTGGCTGGCCCAAGGGCCATAGGCCCTTTTGGGCTTAAAGCCCCCTGTTGCCTTAAACCCTAGGCCAAGCCTGGCTTGCCTGGCTCCTGGAGGCAGAGTAGTCCTTTACGTCCAAAAGCTGCCACAACACCACCCCCCGCCCCCATGATGTGGTAGTAATGATAAAAATAAAATTGCAGTGAATATAGAAAATCTAGAGGGGAAAAAATGTGCCTGAATATGTTTCAGAAATCTGGGATGAAAGAAAAGGATATAAAATTTTAGCATGGTATAGTGAAAATATAAACTTGCTTGAATCCTTCAAAAAAGTCAAGGAGTAAATAATTCTAGAAAGTAAGAACTGTAGCAGAAGTTGATTACTAAAACAGATAACATGTGAGATTCAAACTGGCTGCTTTGGGGTTGGTGGTGCAACTTCCAAACCATGAGGTCACTAGAGCTCAAAGTTTAGAGCACACAATTCTCAATCCCAACTCTAAAAATGTGAGTTCCAGTTCATTCTACCTACAGTTATTTGTCCTGTTCTCTTATTGTTAAATTGCCTATAAATCACATGGGAAGAGATTGCCTGTCTTTCTCCTAAGGAGCAGCTGTGGGATTTGAACCACATGCCTTTGAGTTGGCACACAGTTCCTTATCACTGGGCCACCAGAGCTTCTCCATACCTGTTCCACCTGTGTGCTGAGCAAATCATTAGAGAAACTTACTCTGTAGAGAAGAGTGTGGCATCAGGATTGGAGGAAGACTCAACAACCTGCGTTATACAGATGACACAGCTTTGCTTGCTGAAAGTGAGCAGGACCTGAGGCACTTACTACAGAGTTTCAAGGACTGCAGCTTTCAAGATGGGTTGCATCTCAAAATCAACAAAACAAAACCCCTCACCACTGGGCTAATAGCCAACGTCATGATAGAAGGTGAAAAGATTGAAATTATAAACAGTTTCATCTTGTTTGGATCCACAGTCAACATCCTTGGTATCATTAGTCAGGAGATCAGGAAATGTATTGCATTGAGAAAGTCCTGAAGAGCAATGATGTCAGTGTAAAGACTTAAGGCGTTCCTGATTGATGCCACAATCTTTCCAATCATCTGCTATCAATCTGAGAGCTGCACAACATATAATTTTTGTGGATGACAAGTACTGATGCCTTTGAGTTGTGATATTGGACAAGAGTATGAGTATCTCATAAACTCTCAAAACACCAAAGAAAGATGTCTTGGAGAAAGTACAACCAGAGTACTCCTTGAATACAAGGATAATGAAGCTTCATCTTATATATTTTGGACATACTGTTTGGACAGTCTGTTCCTTGGAAAGAGACATCATGCTTAGAAAAGTAGAGGGTCAAGGAAGGAGAGAAAGACCATCAATGAGATGGATTGTTCCAGTGTCTGCAGGAGTGGGCTGCAAGGTGTCAGGGATGATAAGGATGGTTCTGGATAGGACAGGGTTTAGATTTTTTGTTCCTAGGGTCGCTATGAGTCGTACTCAACTCGATGACACTTAACAACCACAACCACAACAACAACAACTTAATTTTGTTTTATTTATTTTTTTTCTGGAGCTAAATTTTTTTAATTAATTTTTTTCTACTAGTTTATTTACAAAACTCAAATACAAATTTGAACAAATTCTTTCAATTTCCCTCACCCCCTCACCCATCAAATTGTACAACCTTATTATTAATCCCCCTTCCCCTGCACATCCTCATCCCTCCGCTTCCAGCCTCTCCCACCCCTCCTGGATCCTTATACTCATTCTACAATAACGATTTTATTTAGTTCGCTCAGCATAATGCTCTCTAGTCCCTCCTGAGTTAGGTAATAATTTGCAAAGTTATTGCTCCTGCATGCTGCATAGTATTCCATTGTGTGAATAAAAATATGAAGGCTTCATGAATTTGCGTGTCATCCTTGTGGAGGGGCCATGCTACTCTTCCCTGTATCATTCCAATTTTAGTATATGTGCTGCCGAAGAGAGCACAACAACCTAATTTTAGACTGTGAATTTTCTCATGCTTTATTAGTCAATATCTGTTTCTCTTTATTAATGGCTGAATAATGCTCTGTTAGGGAGCTCTAGTGGCTTAAGGTTAAGGAGTTGTGCAAAAATAGTCAATCATTTGAATGACTGGAGAGATGATATTTATGCCCCACAGGGCATCACCTGAGCTCTCACTAATTACAGCAGAGATGCCCAATGACCAAGGGCCTTCCAGCTTTAGAGGCCAGAGATGCACTAAAATGCCCAGCAGGCAGAAAAAGACCGAGACTGAAGCCTCGAAGCCAAATCAATGACATTCTGAGAAGGGAAAGACCTGTTGTGTCAAATGCTACTCAGAGGTTCAGCAAATGAGGTCTGAAAGCTGACAAATGGAGATGACGTGGTTACATGACTTTTTCCTGATCATGTTGTTGGTCATATTCCTGCCTGTGCATGTCTTGGTGTTGTTGAACTGCCTCAGATGTTTGCCTAAATGTCCTTTCTGTATAAGGGAGATCTGGTAGCGTGTCTGTAGGTGACTGTGCCGCCAACCCAAGGGATGAGCCTCTCTGGCAGTTGGAATCTTCCAGCAGCTCAGAGGAGGAGAGATGGGCGGTCTCTCCTGCCTTGAACTTTACAACCTTAGACACCTGCTGGTGGGTCAGCTGGGGGTGGGTCTTGTGATGCCAGCAGGTCCTTCCTGACTGCTGTACCTAATCCAGTTTCCATTCCTGGCAACCTTGAGGTGCACAGCGCTGGTATTCCTGCTCATTTTCCCAATGATAGGAATAAAACAGACATGAAGAAACATCTCCAGGGCCCTTTCTATGTGTAACCTTCCCGAGATATATTAGGAGCTAGAAACTCTGCTTTATATGATGAGTGTCACGTCTGATCCTTCCTTCTTCTCCATCACCTCCTGTAGCATCTAAGAGTCTTGGGGAAAGCACTTGGTTGGGGTGAAGGTTACATCATTGGCAATCTTTACATATAGAGATATATACAGTCACTTGTATATAGTGAGGTGCTGATTTCATTTAATCATGATGTGGTACATAAATGATCTCCTGGCCAGGATGCCAACCACACCACTCTGCTCATTCCAAACTCCCTTAAGTTATGATTCTTAGTTTAGTTTCATGACAATTGATAAAAATGTCTCCCAGCTTCTAGCCTTGAGCTTTCAGTCTTGGTGTTAAGAATTTCCATCCTCTTCATTGCAAGTCATCTCCATTATTTTCAGCATACGTGTTTTTTTTAAAATTTATTATTAATTTTAATGAAAATTTGTAGAGACTTTGGATTTCCATTCATTCACTGTTACACTTTCTCCCTGCCCACCCTCCACCCCCCACTGCCCAGTTCACTCTTCTCTTTGCAAAGTAGAATTCTTTCATTGTTATACAATCCCTCTCCCTCAAGTCCACTCCACTATGCAGCCTTTGTTCTGGACTCCTGTCATGACAATAATACTTAATCACATATCCCTTTTATT